CTCTTTCCACTATCCCACTTCTGAGATAAGGAACAGCCTCCACCCGTCCACAGTTTAGCCAGGCAGAGATGTAAATTCCTGGAAAGTAGAAAAAAACTATATATTGGGTGACAGTCTTTGGCTTCTGAGACTGGGGGCACCCTCCAGGTATGACTCCCCTGCCCACACCATCTACTCATAAACTGAGGTAACACTTAAGCCCAGAAATTCCTTGCTAGCCTTTTTTTTTGGGGGGGGCAGGGTCTCCCTGTAGCCCTAGCTGGCCTGGAACTCACTATGTAGACTAGGCTGGCCTCCAACTCACAGAGATCAGCCTGCCTCTGCCTCCTGAGTGCTGGGATTAAAGGCGTGCACCACCACTCTTGGCCCAGAGCAACCCTTTAAAAAAATATTTTTGGTCTGAGACAGGGTACCTGTGTAGCCTTGGCTAGCTTAGACCCCACTTATGTAGACCAGGCTGGCCTCAAAATCAGAGATCCTTCTGCCTCTGCTTCCCAAGTGCTAGGATTAAAGGTGTGAGCCATCATACCTAGCTGATATATTTTTTTAAGATGTGTGTGTGTGTGTGTGTGTGTGTGTGTGTGTGTGTGCGCGCGCGCGCGCGCATGGGAGTACTCAGGCCAGAAGAGGGCTTTAGATCTCCTGGAGCTGGGGTTATAGGTGGTTGTGAGCAGCCTGATGTGGATTCTGGGAACCAAACTCTGGTCCTCTATAAGCACACCAAACTCTCTTACTTAACCACTGAGCCATTTCTCTAGTCACCTTGATTTTTTTTGGTCTTTTTGAGACAGGATCTCTCTATAGCCCCAGCTGTCCTGGAACTCACTATGTAGACCAGGCTGGCCTTGAACTCACAGAGATCCACCTGCCTCTGCCTCCCAAGTGCTGGGATTAAAGGCGTGTGCCACCACACCCGGCTATCCTTGATGTATTTTTTAAAAATAAAAAAATTATTATCTCTGGAACTGGGGTTACAGACAGTTGTTAGCTGCCATGTGCATGCTAGGATTTGAACCTAAGTCTTCTGCAAGAACAGCCAGTGCTCTTAACTGCTAAGACATCTCTCCAGACCCTTAAAAAATTATTTGAAAACTTTTATGTGTCTGCATATTTTGCCTGCATGTAAGCGTACCCATGAGTGCAATGTCTGCAGAGGCCAAAAGAGGGCATTAGATCCCATGGAACTGAAGCTGCAGACAGTTGTTAGCTGCCATGTGGGTGCTGGAAACCCAACCCAGATCCTCTGCAAGAGCAGCCAGTGCTCTGAACTGCTGAGCCTTAGCCTCTCCCCTTCCCCTTGATCTTTTTTTTGGTGGGGGGCAGTTTTGAGACAGGGTCTCTCTGTTGCCCCAATGGCCTGGAAATCACTTTGTAGAACAGGCTGGCCTGGAACTCCCAGAGATCAAGCTGTCTCTGCCTCCTAAGTGCTGCGATTAAAGGCATGCACCACCATGCCCAGCTTTAAAAATATTTTAATGTGTATAAACATGTGCCTGCATGTGTGTAAATGCACCCATGTCATGCAATGCCAGTGAAGGTCAGAAGATTCCCCTGGAAATGGAGTTACATATTATTGTTAGCCACCATGTAGGTGCTGGGAATTGAACCCAGCAAAAGCAGCCAGTGCTCTTAACAGCTGAGCCCCCTTGAATCTTTATGATACAAAGTGTCACTATGTATGTCTGGCTGGCCTGGTATTATTCAGTCCATGGGGGCCTAGAATTTCTGCCAATCCTTCTTCAGCTTCCTAAGTACTAATATTGTAGGCATAATCCCATACATGCACTGTTTTTTTATTTTTTTTTGAGACAGGAACTCAGTATGTCAACCAGGATGACTTCAATCTCTGCCTCTGCCTCCTGAGTGCTGGGATTAAAGTAGAACACCACCACACTCAACTTTGTTTTGAGACAGGGTCTATGTAACCCCGGCTTGTTTGGAACTGTGTAGACCAAGCTTCAAACAACACCACACTCAGCTTTTTTTTTTTTAAATTTTATTTTGTCATGCAATGCCCACAGAGGACAGAAGAGGCTGTCGGATCCCCTGAAACTGGAGTTACGGATAGTTGTTAGCTGCCATGTGGGTGCTGGGATTTGAACCCGGGTCCTCTGCACGAACAGCCAGTGTTCTTAACTGCTGAGCCATCTCTCCAGCCCCGCACTCAGCTTTTTTATTTTTGTTTTTTGAGACAGGGTCTATGTAACCCCAACTTGTGTGGAACTGTGTAGACCAAGCTTCGAACACCACACTCAGCTTTTTTTTTGTTTGTTTTTTTGAGACAGGGTCTCACTATGTAACCCTGTTTGGAACTGGGTAGACCAAGCTGGCCTCAAACTCAAAGATTTGCCTGTCTCTGCCTCCCTAGCACTGAGATTAAAAGCAGGTGCTATTACTCCCAGGCAGCTGTGAGGTTTGGGGACAGGATCTCATGTAGCCCGGGTTGACATTCACTTGGTATGTAGTTGGGGAAGAACACTTGACCTTCCTGCCTCCTCCTCCTGAGATATTACAGTGGTGTGCCACCGTGCCTGGCTTCAATGTTTATTAGAGCTGTGCTTCTAGCAGTGCCAGGCATTCAATGAACATTCATCCTTGCCAAGCTTGCCATGGCAACCCTGGCACTTCAAAAACAGAATGAGAGAACTTACCTTACTGGGATTTTTCTGATTAAAATGAGGGGGTGACTGTCAAAGGGCTGTAGCAACTCCCAGGCAGAAGGACCCTGGAAACCAAGGCCAGGGTCAGTTCTGGTGCCCTGGGTCCCTGGGGAAGGCACAGACTGCTGGGAAAAACCAGGATCTTCAGAGATAACAATGAGCGGGGTCTAATGACATAACTGCTGGTTAGGGCAGTAGTGACAAAACAAACCTCAGCTGTCTCAGAAACCAAAAACACTCTGGCAGCTTCTGTAAGACACTGTGACACCTTAAATGAATAAATGAGGTCTAGTTTGCTGTGGCCAGTGCAGCACTCCATGGACACAGATGCTTGAAGCTCCCCATAGGAATCAGCTGTCTGGTGAGGAGCACTGGATGAGGCCTTGGTGTATGTGGCTCACTCACCAAAGGTGGTTTTTTGTTGTTTTTTAAGACAGGGTCTCTCTGTAGCCCCATTTGGCCTGGAACTGGCTATGTAGACCAGGCTGGCCTCAATCTCACAGAGATCCACTTATCTCTGCCTCTGAAGACCACAGGTGAGGTGGTTTTGACAAGATCTTAACCAAAATCAGATGCATGCTGACAGGGCAGCAGTGGATAGGGCTGATGATGGACCAGGCATAGAAAGAACAGATGACCAACTGTGGTTTAATAATGAGGAAGGGGCTATAGACTGGTGCAGGAACTTGGCATCCAAAGTTTTCTCAGAATAACAGAGAACTAGTAACCAGCTTCTGATGCTAGAGGGTTTGTATGGGTTTGTATTTAATGGACTCACACAGGATGTGGTGCAAGTGCAAAAGTATCACCTTTTGTCTTTAGCTCCATCAGGACACTTCCTGCCCCTCCTCACCCACCATCAAAACTAATGTACTTTTAAAGTTTCAAATAATTAGGGCTGGAGAAATGGTTCAGTGTTAAGAGCACTGGATGCTCTTGCAGAGGACTGGGGTTCAGTTCCCAGCACCCACAAGGCGACTAGCAACCATCTGTAACTCTAGTTCCAGGGGATCCGATGCGCTCTTCTGATCTTTGTGGGCATTGCAAGATGCAGTGCACT